TGTATATTATAGTTTCTTTTTCTTGTTCTAGATTGTTTCATTATTGATATTTATATTAACACTTTCCATTTGTGTTCCTGTTGATTGGTGTATTATTTTATGGACTTTGCAAAGACAAAGACGACAATAATGGGCTATTTATTAGTCTTGATTGTCGATCTGTTATCCGTTGTATGCTTTTTACCTGTTGATGATTGATAGTGCGCTCTGTTTTACCAAAGTAGCACTGATAATTAGGTTGTATTGGGTAGTTAGTTAATTCGATGTATTTTTTTCTTTGGTTTTTGAGGACGTCTTACAATAAACTATCGTTTGCTGTGTGATTAACGTTATATTTCAATTCAACAAATTCTTTTAAGTGTCGCTTTCACCTCTGGTGAGAACGAGCTGAGCTTACCTCGACACGACCTGTGCAGCTGATAAATTTTCATATTTCAAACAAAGGTGTTTGGAAGCATTCTCAAACTCGGTAAACGCGCAGACGGCAAAAACATTCCGCCTGCCTTCGTTCTCCGGACGATTTACTACACCATACCCACAGCTATAACATTAAACTCGCTTGGCATACTCTTCTTTATCTTCCGGTTGATCTAAGTTGAGTGGTGCCAAACAGGCGATGTGATGACGAAGTGTGTTGCTGGCTGTCTTCACTGTGACAACCCGCACTAGATTAACCTGGCCTGGGTGGAGCTCGATGACACGTCCTAAGGGCCACTTGGAGGCTGGATATCTATCGTCCTTCATTAGTACAAGCTGTCCTACCTTGAAGTTTTCTGTCGGGTTAAGCCACTTCTGTCTCTCCTGCAGCCGAAGAACATATTCGCTCGACCAGCGCTTCCAAAACTGATCGCGAAGTCGCTGTAGCAACTGGAAACGGTCAAGTCTATTTATTGGCACACTTGGCGTTTCTGCATCGGGTATGATAACAGAGGGCCTTTCCTTTAGAAAATGATCTGGCGTTAAAACTCGTAAGTCCTCTGGATCTAACGTATAAGGCTGTAAAGGTCGTGAATTCAAGCACGTTTTGATGTCCGACAGAACAGTGGAGAATTTCTCGAATGTCAGCTTCTGCTCCCCGATAGTCTTCTTTAGCAAGTTCTTAGTGGATTTGATCCTAGCTTCCCATATGCCTCCATAATGTGGTGTAGTAGAGGGAATGAACGTCCACGAGATGCCTTTTTCAGCTAATTTAGAAGCACGTCTGCATAAAAAGCTGAAGCGTCGCGAAACATGGCTCGAAGCTGGGCGTCCGTGCCACGAAAAGTTGTCGCGTTGTCACTGTAAAGATGCGTGCAGTTGCCTTGCGCATTAAGAAAGCGACGAAGTGCCAGCAAGAAAGTAGCCGAGGTTAAATCACCGACAGCCTCTAGATAAATTGCTTTAGTGTTGTGGCATATAAATAGCGCGATGTAACCTTTAAAAGATTTTTACCCTCGTCCTTTTGAAGCGCGCAGGTTGAAAGGTCCAGCGTAGTCCAAACCAGCGGCAGCAAATGGCCCGTTCGCAGTAACACGAGTAGCCGGAAGATTGCCCATAAGTTGACTGGCTAAACGAGGTTTATGTCTTTGACACTCAACGCATTTCCGTACAGCAGTCTTGACCAGTGGTCGCATACCCACAACCCATACATATCGCAATAAAAAACTTATTGTAAGGATAGGTCCACATTTGTTTTGAACAAATAATTCACTTAGTGCGGAAGCTCGAGGTAGTATAGGCGGATAGGTCAACACGCAAGATATCGTCGTAACCGAGGTATGGATTCAATCGTCGTAATATTTAGGCAATGCTCTACCTTTTCGTAGAGAATCAAGCTCAGATGAGAACGTGTGAGCCTGCGCAAGCTTGATAAGTGTATTTTGAGCATTGTCAAGTTCGGCTACTGTAAGCCATTTTCGAGGATACGAGTCTTGGCCAACCTTACTTCGCGTACGTTACAGCGATGGCCGCAAGCACCATCCATCGATCTGCATCAATCGTTTCAAATCAGAATAGCGCGATAGGATTTCGGGTTCAATAACTCTCGGACTAACTCGCAGGGTTTGCACTGTCTTAGGGGCCTGAGGCCATTTGTGCACGGGAGTTTGGATCCATTCAGGTCCGTACCACCACAACACTTCGGATTGTAATTGTAGGGGCGTAACGCCGCGAGTAGCTAAGTCAGCTGGATTTTCAGCCGATCCAACCTGTGACCATGTAGCTGAAGGCAGTTCATTTTATACGAATGATACCCTGTTCGCGACAAACGTTTTCCAATGGCACGGGTGTTTTTGGAGCCATTTCTGCACAATTTCACTGTCGCCAAACAAGTGTACCGGTGCATCTTTCAAGAAATTCAGTCTTTGCACATGAAGAACAAGCTTAACGAGTAAGTCCGCGGTAAGTAACTCGAGCTTTGGAACACTTATAGTTTTAATTGGCGAAGCTTTAGTTTTTGCACACAACAGCCTGAGCATGTACGTGCCATTGCTATTATCAATACGTATGTAAACTGACGCGGCGTATGCGCGCATGGAAGCATCGCAAAACCCAATGAGTTCATATGGCTTATTCTGTGATAAGCCCAACCAACGATCTATAAATACCGAGGGAAGATCTGCGAGTGAGGCGCAATAACTTTACCACTGTTCACAGAGACCTGGGCAGAGGTGTGTCCTACTCGCATTTTGTTATCCAGACGTTCTGCATGAATATCGTGACTGGGGTGAGCCAACCCAACGGATCGAATAATCGTGCGATATTCGAATAGACCGACCTTTTCGTCAATGTGCTTGTACTTTCATCTATCTTCGAGGCGTTGAAGTTAAATTTGCCATTAGACGGATTCCAATGCACACCCAAGGTTTTAACGTTACTGTCACTCTCGATTTCTTTAACCATCCCGTGATCATTAGGTTGCGCATGCACGGGCATTAAAGTATTCTCATTAGCAGCCCACTTGTCCAACTCAATGCCAGCCGACTGAAGAATGCCCACATGCTCATCTCTTACAACTACAGCTTCTTCAAGCTCGTCTGCCCCGGTAAACATATCATCTATCTACGAGTTTGATTCTAAACAGACGGCACCACGCGGAAAGCGCGCTCTCTCATCCCTAGCTAACTGCAGGAGCGTACGAATCGCAAGAAAAGGGGCTGATTTTGTGCCGTAAGTGACTGTCGACAAACGATAATCAATCTCTGGTATCGCAGGCGATGGAGACCACACAATCCGATGCAAGTCACGATCTTTAGTAGCTAGGATTATTTGCCGAAATATTTTAACAACGTCGGCTGTAAATGTGTAACGATAGCGACGCCAATTCAAAAGCACGAGCAAGTGATCGGTTTGCAAAGGTGGACCGGCTATAAGAAAGTCGTTTAGGCAGTGCTTCTCATGAGTTTGACGAGAAGCATCGAATACGACACGTATCTTAGGCTTTTCGCACTTACCTGTGATAACAGCGTTATGAGGAAGGTACCAGGCTCTCAGATTATTAAGTTCTGTCTCAGGAACACGCTCCATATGGCCAAGCTCTTCGTAAGTGTGCATGAACTCGCAATACGCGTCAGCTAATCTCGGATCACGCGTGAATCGCTGCTGCTGATGCTTTAGCGAGCCTAAAGCCATTCTTCTCTTTTCAGCAGCTACACACGGTGGCTCGAAAATCAATGGAAGCCGTATTGTGTACTGACCGTTTGCTTCACGCGTATGAGTTTCGGCGAAAAGCTGTTCACAAGTTTCATTCTCGGGTTTCAACTGGTGTGCCGCGCTTGGCACTTCCTCGACTGTCCAAAAACGTTGGAGTACTTCGGTTAAATCGTCATTGACTGCATAATGCAAAACTTTGACGGACATTCGATTGCAGTTCACCGCCCACCGTGACATTCTCTCTCACGCAGGACCCAGAAGAATCCATGCGAGCGCGGTATTTTGTGCAATCAACATAGTACTTGAGAACGACTTAAGGCTCAAGCGAAGTAACTGGCCATAAACATCGCCACCCAGCATAATATCAATTCTATCTGAGATGTTGAATTCAGGATCGGCAAGAGTGAGATCTTGAAACCAACCGAGATCAATTTCCATAAGATCGCGCGAAGGAAGCTCCGAAGTCAAGCGTGGCATAATAAACGCGTTTATTTCTATTTCAAACTCTAAATCCACGTGTGATTTAGCATGAAACTGATGGAATGTCGAATCTTACCAGCTTTGCACTCACCGAAACCTATGACCTCAGTTTCCACGCGATCTCGACTTAACCCAAGCAATTGAACGAGGGATTCAGAGATGAAGGTTGCCTCTGAACCTTGATCCAAAAGCGCGCGAGCGCGAGTTTGCTTGCCTTTCAGACTTATAACGTTAACGTGCGTGGTCGCGAGGAGGATCGAGCATTCGTTATTATTAGTGTTCTTGTTGTAAGCGTTGACTGAGATTTCGCTTTCCTTACCGATCTGCGTAACGCATGATTGCACTCGCGGCAGGTTTGCAACCGATTTGCCATCTTGACAGCCGCACCTGAGGTGCTACCTTTCGTACTGGAAACCGTGCCCGATGTACTGCCCTTTGTTCCTCGGTGGAGCAGGGAGTGATGCTTTTCGCGGCAGTACTTGCAAGTTTACTACGACCTGCAATCCTTCAGTTTGTGCTTGCCGAGACAATTGAAGCATAATTTTAACTGTCGCACGTTGGCTTGACACTGAGAGGGGTGTTTGGCAGTAAAAGTGGGGCATCTTGATATAAAATGATCCCCTTGGCAAAGTGCATATTTAGAAACCTTGGCTGAATGAGACGACTGCGTATGATGCACTTTCCGCGAATTACCGCCTGTCGATGGATTGGTTCGTTTGACGTCCTTATTTACATAAATCACTGATAAGGCTTGAGCACGTCTTTCTAAAAAGGCAGTAAGATCAGCGAGCTTTGGAAAACGCGCAGCATCATTGCTCTCCATATCGGCCGCGTTGATCAACAGTTCACTATCTTTCATAACTAATTCGGATTCCCAGATCCTTCTAGACTCAGAGTCCTAGTCTAGCTTCGAGAATATGGACAAGCCACATATCCCAGTACGCCATTGGAGTTTTAAGATTTGAAAGGGCACGAATAATTTTTTGAGTTTCGTCGACAAAGGCGCGCAAATCAGTCGCGGACTCCTTCTTTAAGTAGGGTAAGCTAAAGAGCGAATCGAGAAGGTTGTTTATAGCTAAACGCGGGTCGCGGAATCGAGCACTCAGGGTCTGCCAAGTCGACGCGTAATTGACTCCCACAAGTGTAACGTCTTTTACCAACTCGGTTGCAACACTTTTCAAACAAGACTTGAGGTATTGCAATTTAGTAGCGTCTTTGAGCCGCGGTGTATCGTGCACAAGAGAGATAAAGATATCTTCGAAACTATCCCAATCTTCGTACTGTCCTAAAAAAGTAGGCAAATCGAGACGTGGCAGTTTCGCTGGCATGTAATCATGCTCATCATCTCAGTCGCGTCGCGATCCTCGAGAATTACACTCCTTTTTGTTCCGTGACATCGGCAAGTCGTCAAGCGCGGTCAACAGTCAGTCAAGTGTCTCCTCATAGATTCGATTCATACCTTCGAACTCATTTTGTATAATGTACGGATAACTCTCCGCATCTGCACGCAACACGATTTCATCATGCGCCTTACGAAGATCTTTCCAGCACTCTTCCACATTACGAATGCGCCTCTGAAGGATGGTTTTGTTGAGAGTGTTACGGTCACGAACGCGCATACGCGTACAGATTGCTTCGATTTCATTGCTGCGATGTCACTGCAGCGTGATAAGTCGATTCAAAGGCACACGCGACATTGTGATGAGATTGGCTTAAGCTATACAAATTTAATAACTCGTGGTGGACCTCCTACACAGCTACGCGTACAACGATATAAATTTCTTTACAAACTAATTATATACGAGTATAATACAAATATAATAACTATGTGATATAAGTAGATCTAGATACGGCGCAATGATTATACACAAACTTCACACTGAAAATCATGATTAATACTTATATATTCACACTATCCTCACCACACGGGCACCATGTTTAAAGTTTAACTAGATTATTATTCAGAATGTAAATGTGCTCAATGCTATAAGTCTCACCTCGAAATTGAATTCGTGATGACAAGAAATAAAAAGTCAGAATTGAAACAATAAATATGTACTTTAATTTATTAATATGAATGACACTAAGATTCAGTCGCCATAAAAACCCCAGTCTTAGGTGAGGAAAAAGCCATTTGAATAAAACAATTACGAAAAATAAAACTTACAATAAAACAATAAAATTCACTTAAAATTAAATTTAACTAATGTCACGAAAGATTATTTAAATAAGATTAGAAATAAAAACAGTGTGAAGTAATCGTATAAACACGCTTACATAGCTTGGATGTCGCAATAATGAACTGAATGGCCATTCAATGAAAATTCGCTCGCTTACCAGCTTGATGCCCATAGGCCTGCAATGGCTCGGTCGGTAGAGTGACGGACTCACACCCGGTAGGCCCGGGTTCGATTCCCAGTTCCTGTTGATTGATACAAGCACCACTGAAAAAAGTTTCATGTGCTTTGTTCTCAAACACATTGCAAGCCTCCGTCGTTGATTAGCACTGATGGAGCATAAATAGAGCGACATTAAATAGAAAAAAAAAAAAAAAAAAGCTTGATGCCCACACAACAAGGAATCGATGTAGGGAAACGTTCTTACTGCTAGCGTAAATGTAGCTCATACGGTTGGTGCCCTCGCTAACGTTTCTACTGGTGATAGATCCAACGGCATCATGCGTCCAAATTTGCTGTATCAAAGTCAGTGGTTTTCCAGTTACATCTGAAAGGAGACGATGGGCCCTCTGCTAGTGCAGCAAGCACATCCGGCCTAGTTCCTTTTGCGATTGTTATCCCTTTTGCGATAACAATCGTGAAAGAAATATTTTTATGTTTTATGGCTCTAGCCTCCATATGAATAATTTAGTACACTAATTGATAACTTGATTCGTACACTAACAATCAAAATAACTCAGGATATTTACACCAATCTGCTAAGTACCGCTTAGTTGTTTTTAATGAAAGTACGAAAAATATTTATTATTATATATAAAAAATCTATATCAAAATTGGAGTAATGACGAAATTGTGTGTGTGTGTGTGTTTTTTTTTTATAAAATGAGGGAAAAATAGAATGCTCTTTATTTTTCCTTCGGTCTGGCCGCACTAGATCACCACCGTACAATGGTGGTGAAGGACCACGGATCGCCAGGATGGTGACAACGATCCGGCTAGATAAACAACTAGCAACCCATACCAAGTAAAAAACAACCCTCTTCATCCTGGCCTTTTTTTACCCCGCACGGGACCGCCGCGAGGCATTACTTCGTGAGGGAGGCGTCAGCTTTTATAGCTCTTCCTTCTAGTATTTATTGGTTTCACTACCTCTTCTGCAACGGGTAATCTCACTCGTCTTCTTCTTCGTTGTTTCTCTTCCGTCGACCTGTTTTCCCTCTTCGTTATCTTGATCTAAGTCGTCCTCTTCTTTCTTCGTTCTTGCTCTTCGCTTCGTAAGTCTTTGAAGATCTCCGTCGCAAAGATTGTCGTTGCTTCCCAAGCTTCTTCCGATGATAGCATTGCCTTAACCAAAGTTTCGGGCATAATGCTTTCGTTCAAGACCGTTTCTAGGTCACGTCGTTGTGTTTCGTACCTGGGGCATGCAAAAAACACATGTTCGGCATCCTCGTCGAATCCACTGCAGACAGGGCATTCTGGGGAGTCCTCGTACTTGTGTTTGTACAGGTAAGCCCGGTAGCACCCGTGTCCGGAGATCATCTGCGTTAGATAGTAGTTCATGCTACCATGTGCCCGGTCGGTCCACTCACCCACATTAGGGATCAGGCGATGTGTCTATCTACCCTTGGAGGAATGATCCCACGTTTTCTGCCATCGGAGCATACTTGCCCGCCTCTCTTCAGCCTTAATCTATTCACGATCCGCATTAGGGTCTCGTGTACGACGGTATATGTGTCTTCTTTCTGTAGCCAGTTCCTCGATTGGCATTGGTCCTGCTACAACCTCGGCAGCTTCCTTCGAGACCGTGCGAAATGCACTTGCAACTTGAAGGGCACTGAGCCGATAAATTGTTGTCGGTTTCCGGCGGGTTTCCTCCGTCCTTAATGCTTCAGCCCAGATAGCGATGCCATACGTCATCACTGAGGTGATCACTGACGTCAGCAGTGCTCTCCTACTTTGCTTGGGCCCACCAACGTTTGGCATGAGCCTACAAAGTGCTGCCCTGACCGATGATGCTTTGTCAGCAGCATGCCCTACTTGCGACTTAAAGTTGAGACGAGCATCGATCATAACCCCCAGGTATCGTATTGACGACTGGGAGGTGATAATGTGCTGTCCAACATGTAGTGTGACTGTCTCAACTGTCTTTCTGCTGGTTATTAGCACAGCTTCTGTTTTGTGCTCTGCCAGCTCCTGTCCTAGGTGTTGGAGACACACCTGGTATCTCTTGTACGAGACGTCGAAGAGATTTTGCAAGTCCTCGATGTGCTTGCCCACTACCACCAAGGCAACGTCATCGGCAAATGCCACCGGTGCAACAGCTCTTGGTAGCGGTACCTGGAGTAATTCGTCGTACATAATATTCCACAATAGCGGACTGAGTACGGAGCCTTGTGGGACCCCTCCAGTTACTTTGTACTCCTTGGGCCCATCTTTAGTGTCATACATCAGCACTCTATTGGTGAAGTAACTGGCTACTATTTTGAGCAAATAGCCTGGGACATTCATCTTCATCAAGGCTTCCATGATGCGATCCCATCTTGCTGAGTTAAAGGCATTCTTAATGTCTAGCGCAACTACCAAGCAGTACTTTTTTTCTCCACCTTTCCACCTCTGGTCAGAGATAGCTTTTCTGGCAATACTTGTGACTAGATCAATGGCATCGAGGGTAGAGCGGCCCTTCCGAAATCCAAACTAATTGTCTGATATGCTGGTCTCTGTTACCTCCTCTATCCTTCCATGGATAATACGAGCAAATATTTTTCCTGCCGTATCCAGCATGCAAAGTGGGCGGTAGGATGATGGTTTATCCGGCGGTATGTCTCCTTTGGGGAGGAGGACCAATCTCTGTTTCTCCCACTCTATGGGGACAACCCCTTACGTTAGGCATCTGTCATACATCTGGCGAAACATTTCCGGTGCTGCATAGATAGCTTCCTTAAGTGCGGTATTAGGGATGCCGTCTGGGCCTGGAGCTTTCAGGTTGCCCACTTTCATCGTAGTTTTAAGTAGCTCCTCCGTTGTAACTGGTGGTATCACTGGGTCATTTGCGTGCTCTATATTAAACTCGCAGTTAGGACGCTGTAGAAAGAGCGTGAGAACTATTCTCTCCAGGAACTGTGGGCAAGATTGTGTTGGCCTTGTGTCCCTCTTTAAGCGCGCCATAACTGCCTTGTAGGGTCTTCCCCACTGGTCTTTATTGACTTCTTGTAGCAGTTCCTTCCACCCCTGTCTCTTACTGTCCTTTATGGCTTTAACGAGCACCCGCCTTAACTGCTTGTGCTTGGATTTTAGCTCTTAAAAGGTGTTTTTTTTCCTAGCTCTCGTTGCAGCTTTCCTTGCTGTGATGCACTGCCTTCGGATGGACTCGATGCTGACATACCACCAGTACATTGGCCGCCGTCCTTTGGCTGACCGTTTACGTGGCATTGTTGCATCACAGGCTTTCACTACTCTTCCCATCACCAGTTTCGCTTCCTCCGTCGCATTTTCCGCTATTACTGGTGTCTTATCCAGAGCTTCGACAAATTTGTCGGGCTGGAAGCTGTTTGTTTTCCATCCTCGGTAATTTGTCTTCTTCGGCGGAGATTTCTTCTCTCCTACCGTCTAGGAGATCAGTCTGTGGTCACTCATGTTAAATCGATCATTTACTCTCCAGTTTTGTCCGAGTCGTAGAAGGCTCGGGCTAGCAAACGTGAGATCTATGACAGATGTTCTGCCGTCTCTTTCGAATGTCGGTATGTTGCCGACATTGATCAGGTCCACCTCCAAACTGGTCATCGCCTCCAGGATTAAATGTCCTCTACTGTTGGTGAGCTTACTACCCCAGTCTACAGCCCAGGCATTGAAGTCGCCTGCAACAATCACTGGAAAATGTCGTCTTGGATTTTCAACCAGTTCATCCAGCAGACTTAGGAACTGCCCCTCACTTAGACTGGGCGGTGCATAGCAACTGTAGAAATGGGTGTTTCCTAGTTTTGCCCTTACAAATCCCCTGTGCATACCACCTACTGCTACTTGGAAAGGCAACTCTCCACAAGCCCATATTACTGTCTTCCCTGTTACATCTGTCACCCACGTTTTTTCCTCTAGATGCTTATACGGGTCGGCTAGTATGGCCACATCCACTTTCCATTCACACACTGTCTGCG